GGGGGGGGGTTTGTTTGTTTGTTTGTTGTTTGTTTAGTTTTTTGTTTTTTTGTTTGTTGTTTGTTTTTTGTTTTTTTGGGGGGTTCGTTTGTTTCTTTTAACACAGTTAAAGCCCCCATCGACAAAATAATAGATCGTTCTTTTTAGTTCGTTCTGCTACGATAAAATACTGGACAGTGCCCATCAAACGAAAAGGGTGTATCAGTATTCATAAAAAGTGTCACGGCACTTGCGATACAACACATAACAAATACGCCATATAAGTGCTGAAGATTAGGAGAGTTACTTGAGAGTAACATACGGATGAAAGAGAGAAGAATAGGAATGAGCAAACCACACTAGAACGTCCGCCAACAACATTGTCATTATTAATTTATTTTTATTGTAGGCTACCAATAAAAAAGGAGTGTAATTGGAGTAAAATTCACACGCGTCCTTGAGAGAGAGAGAGAGAGAGAGAGAGAGAGAGAGAGAGAGAGAGAGAGAGAGAGAGAGAGAGAGTAACGTACATTTCCTAGTGGGAGTCCACCTGTGTCCTCGGGGTAAAAACTTTCCTCAGAAATCTATCATAGAAATAAACAGCTTCCGTTTCGTTTTATGTTTCAGAGTAAGAGTTTTATGGCGCTTGCATAAGATAAGAGGTGTTACAGATGAGTAACATATACAAAAAGGTGGAGGGGAGAAATTGACGTCGATAGATGTCTGGTAGAAAAGAAGGAGCAAGCCACATCAGAGCAGATAGACTTCTTGACCAACTGCTATAGTGAAAATACTGTTTGTTGTCTTAAGGCCATGTTGTAGGCCTACTGTGAGTTATGAAACTGAAAAATCTTTTATACAACAATGCAGTTTCTGATTGCAGGGCATTATACAGACAGAAACACATACACCCACAGCCACAGGTACCCACGCACAGATAGTGCCAAAGATTAGAAGTGTTACAAAGAAGTAACAAACGCAAAAAAGAAAGAGGGGAGATAAATACGATGGATGTTTGATAGGAAAGAAGGAGCAAACCACACCAGAGCACCGGCCAACCACCCACTCACACACAGAGAGACAGACTTCTTAGCCAACTGCCGTAAAGAAGACACTGTATGCTAGATGTCTTCACATCTTGTTCCACTATCAGTTATATTAAGACTGAATTTTTTTTTTACCATAGAACAATGCAGTCTCCGCTGAGATGGCATTGTACACACAGAAATACACTTGACTTAGTTCCAGGTACTCACGCACATGGAAACTGCTGTAATGAGGACACTGTTAGTTGTCTAAGTCCTTTCTCCACCATGAGTTCTGAGTCTGGAAAAATCTATCATAGAAGAATGCAGTCTCCACTGACATGGCATTGTACACACAGACACACACACAGTCACAAGTACTCACACACACACAGATAGACTTCTTGGCCAGCTGCTGTAATAAAGACAAAGTTAGTCGACCCTGTTAGTCGGCCTTGTTCCACTATGAGTTACGAGACTGAAAAAATATATCATAGAACAAAGCAGTCTCCCGTGGCAGGGTAGGGAACACACAGACAAAAACACACAGACATAAACACACAGACAT